AAGGCTTTAACTCACGTCGTCAAACAAAGTGAGAGGAAGCTTTCTGACAACAAAGGAATAACTACTGTATATGTTGTTATTAACGGGACGTTTACGAGTGAGTGGCGAAGGTTTTGCGTTTGTGTTCAAGGTTGCGTAAAAGCAAATGGGGAAATGGAGTTATCCTGTAAACAGTTCTTATATTTCACTGTACTCAAATTGCCTTGTCACTACAGCTCTCTAACTTTAGGTGTCCAAGCTCTCCTGCTACACTGGTTGTTCCTCTTGAGTGTAAATGTTGTAAGGAAACGTTGATTTTGTTCTCAGAAGTGGGATTAGTTCATTTATTTTAAGCATTTTGACAGAAAAGTAATATTTTCTTATACGTGCTACCAGTAACAGACTACCCACGAACAGTTCAACTTAAATCGACGGTAAGCACGCTCCCTAGTTGGTCTTAACCACTACACTCCAGGAAAATTCCGTGTAACATTCAATAGAATAGATATATCGGACTAGAATCTGAGCCCAAATATATGAGCTGAGCGTAGTACTTTTACCAAAACTATTGGACTAACCATACGCCATAGAAATATATGTAAATGAAATGAATGGTATTTGATTGATAATTCTTAGGTTATATAAGGTCCAAAATGTCCGGTGTGAAGTACCAAAAAGTAGTGTCACCCCAATTAAAGATAGGGTCACTTGAGGCAGGCCATTCAATTGTACCCAAAAGTCCAATCCCAAGTTGCTGCCCCAAAGCATCGCATTCTATTATTAACGACCACGACCCGCATGCAGACATGCACAAGTGTCCTGATTTTGTTGTGGCCCTGACTATTGTGTGTACAGCATGATTCCAGTAGAGGAAGAAAGATGGGAACACATTAAGGGCACCGCTAGACCCCTGAGTGATTAGTATTCTGCGCGCACCCAGACAACAAGAAGCACAGTGACATCTGCGAGCCGACATCGACGAAACCAAGCTCTACACGGAACCACAAGACCCCGCGGAACGGCTGCAGGTAACCCAACAGCTGAACAAGACCACCTTAAATGTTCATCCTCGCGTAAGCAGATACATGTACACCGCTTGTTTCAGTTAAAGCTAAAGAAATAAAACTTACCAAATACTCTAATGAAGATCCACAATGAAAAGACAAATAAGCAAATTTAACGATAAACATATCCCAATTCTCCCCCTCTTTTTTGTCTCCAGAAAACTAGGGTCTGCCTGAACCTTTTTGGTGAGCCTTTGTCCATAGATTTCTACAAGTCCGAACACGAAGACTGGAGGCCCGGCTTCGCGTCCCCTACTGCAGACAGTCTCTTTCCGCTAAAACGCTAGAGAGGCGCGTACAGTGACAAGGATGAGAAGCTTGTAATACATATAAGAAATGCATAGAAGGCCATGGGGCTTATAAGAGAAAGACTGGCAATAAAAGGAAACCTTCTCTTTTCACAAACAAGGCCTCATGAGTGCAAGGAGATTAAATAAAGCTTGTGGGGCTATCAAACACGGCACTACCATTCAACAGTATACCTTCACTACAGTCGTCGACTCCATCTCCATGGCATGTTCACTGGTAAGTCTTATGTCCTCCAGTCCAAACGTCCATTCCTGACTTTCCTCACCCTTTTAAATTGCATAGCTATCCGCCTCAGTATATTTTATTTTCCTACTGCATATTTAGACATGAATTTTTTAAGTATTGTATCCCCAACCCAAGGTAAATAACCGCCCTCCATAAAATCATATTAACAACACACTAGCATGAACCCTACAAAACTCACACCACGTGAGCAAGCAGACTGTGGAGTCATCACATTCCCATTTATCTTGAGAGAGTGCCACGAAATCTAGTTAGATAAACCTTAAATTTGATGGATATAAATTGGTTCGAACCTCTCAGGCCTAAATGCATCCCCACCAAAAGGCCTGAGGATAATCCCATAACACCCTTAAAAAGGTCGCCAACCCAAAACTCTGTGGACACATGCACACGAGAAAAGGAAATTACATATTGCTGTTCTCCTATGAGTCATGGGCTATCTCTGCACCCAGCCTGACTTGCTGCTGTCCAAGAGTTACATAAAATCCTGCCATTTTAATATAAGAAATGGTTTCTCTTTGTTTAACAGGCCGATTGACGTTGTCTTCCTTACCAGTAAACAACAGCAGAAAGGATGGGAAACCACGGGTCTCAGTCAAGCCATGAAGTAACAAAACAGATCTAAATACCCTATCCCAACATCCACACACAACAACCCTATCACCCACGACTGCAATACCGTTTCTGATTAAATGATACAACCGAGAAAACTAACACAAGCGAAAATCTAACGCCTACAAACAAACATATCAACTAGCTGCTGTGGGCGAGAGGGAAAGTGGAAGTGCCTGTGTGTTAGTGAACTATGGAGTGGGCTAAAGCTTAATGGAACTTTCAGGACCAGATGGTAAATGCCTAAAATAAGAACTACCCACTACTTCTTGCTGGCGGAATACTCCAGCTAGAAACCGAACCACCTATGATGGCAATTCAAACACCCATCTGCGTTCCAGGGTATCAGGTCTAGAACCGTATACCCCCCCCCCCCGGGCCCAGTGTCCTGGTCGAAATGTAAAAGACCAAAGGAACAAAAGCCCGAAGCCAAGCTCATCTCCCACTCTGTTTAAGAGCAAGGGCAAAGACCCTCCCTGAGCCAAAGGTGACAACGAGAGATGGTAATAAATCTACTACACACTGCCACCCGCGATGACATCACCCTGCTGTAGCAGCCAAAATGGACTTCTTGGCCAAGTGACTGCCAGCAGGTTCACACTCACAGCCAGGAATATCTGGAGCTTTTGGCTGAATTACAAAGTACACGATCAACAACATTTTGTATCAGTAGTGTTTATTTATTATGTGGCATGTATGCAGAGGGACGCTCTTCACACATGTCCCGATTTATCTCAGGCCACAGATCCTGAATAATGTGATAGGGGGCCATAAGACAAGCTGAAATGTGTCACTCTTTGTCAATGCTTCTATCTGCATTACCCCATTTGATCAGATTGTAAGGAAACAGTTTCGGGTAGAGTGTGTACCAAAATGATGAAATCTTTTGGTGTGAAGAGCCCGATTAGAACAAAGCACCACCTCCAGGCACCAGGTTTTCTGTTTGCGTCTACCTGCCAAGACTCTGCAGATGGAAATTAGTTGGGAGCTAAATCTGGTACTTGTCTTTGTATGAGATTCATATTTTTTGTACACGATCCCTGACAATTAAATGTAATAAACTAAAGTTTTTGTGAACATTACAATCTTGATCTCTATCAAATGTGTTTATGTGTGGGTATAAATAGGAGAACAGTTTGTGGCACACAGGGCTGTAATTTTTAGACCTGAAAAATATTCTGCAAAGATCGGAAATGTGTCTTTAGTTTTTGTTCCAACTGAAGGTTTTTATGTCTTGTATACGTGAGGCGATATATTGGCTTCTCTCTGCATGTCTAATAGGACACTCTCTCTTCTTGCAGGCACGACTGATCTCACTCTATTTTGACACCAAACGATACCAGGAGGCCTTGGCGCTCGGTGAGTGTTTGGAGACAGGACATTTTTATCTTTTGGTTAATGGCAACGTCTGTCTTCAGAGACCTTACATATGCTGTTGTCCCTGACATCCTAATCAACCACACATACAGCACAAGATGTATGCTAGTCCACCATGAAACACCAAAACTGTCAAAAGATATATTTTATTGTTGCAATCTTATTTCCACCTGTAAAAAGTTGGTTTTTATTTTATTTGTGTCCCTTGTTAGCAAATATGTGCCAAACTGACTAATGAAGCAGGGTAAAGCAGTTAGACATGCTTTACTTACAAAGAAAGGAGAGAGAACAGCACATAACAGGACTATAACTGTACATTTACCCTCTAGCTGTTTACTACAGTAACCGCTGTACTGTACAAAGTTATTGCAACAG